TTTGCCCATTTTTAAATTGGGTTGTTTTTCTGTTGTTGAGTTGTAGGAGTTCTTTACATATTATGGATATTACATTCTTATAAATGATTTGAAAACATTTCCTCGAATTCTATGGGTTGTCTTTTCACTCTCATGACAATGTTCTTTGATGTACAAAAGTTGTGATTTTAATTCAGTATCTATTTTTTCTTTCATTGCCCGTGGTTTTGGTGTTAGATTTAGAGTAGAAATTCAGTTTGAATTGAAGGGGAGAAAGCAGGCATTGCAGTCTTGTTCTTGAGGTTAGGAGAAAAACTTTCAACCTTTTACCATTGAGTATGATGTTGGCTGTGGATTTTCCATAAATGCTCTTTATCATGTTGAGAAAGTTTCCTTCTGTACCTAGTTTTCTGGACTTTTTTTTTTAATTATGAAAGGATGTTGAATATTGTCAAATGTTTTTTCTGTGTCACTTGAAATGATCATGTGTTTCTTCATTCTATTAATGTAGTGTATTACATCTATTGGTTCTCATATATTGAACCACCCTTGCATTCCTGGTATAAATTCCACTTGGTCATGGTTTATGATCCTTCTAATATGCTGCTGGATTTGATTTGCTAGTATTTTGATGAGAATTTTTGCACCTGTAGTCATAAGAGATATTGACCTAGTTTTTTTTTGCTATGTCTTGTTTGGCTTTGATATCAGGGTAATGTTGGCATCATAAAATGAATTAGGAAATATTTCCTCCTCTTTAAATTTTTGGAAGATTTTGAGAAGGATTAATGTTTATTGTTCTTTAAATATTTGATAGAATTTACCAGTGAAGTCATCTGGACCTGGCCTTTTTTTTTTTTTCTTTTGGAAGTTTTGATTACTGATTAAATCTCCTTACTTGTTACAGGTCTATACAGATTTTCTATTTATTCTTTTTTTTTAAGAACAATATTTTAATTTATTTATGTTCCAGATTAGTACAAAAATGTACTTATGAGACAGTTTGGAAGAAAATACATATAAACAACTTCAAAGAGTAAATGATAACTATATAAATGTGGTAGTTCAGGATTTTATGTACCTTTGAAAAAGGTACTAAGAAAGATCAATGTTAAAAAATTACCTTGTGCCTGGCCGGTGTGGGCGGTTGAGCGTCAACCTATGAACCAGGAGGTCATGGTTCGATTCCTAGTCAGGGCACATGCCTGGGTTGCGGGCTTGATCCCCAGTGTGGTGGCGTGCAGGAGGCAGCCCATTAATGGTTCTCTCTCATCAATGATGTTTCTGTCTCTCTGTCCCTCTCCTTCCTCTCTCAAATCAATAAAAAATATATCTTAAAAAATCACATTGCTATATTCCATTTTTATTATTAATTAATTAAATATATATTTATTGTTGATAGTATTACAGATGTCTCCCATTTCCCCCCTGTTACCTCCCTACTCCCAGCCCCTACCCATCCCTCCAGGTCTTCACCACCCTATTGCCCATGACCATGCGCTATGCATATAAGTATATACATTCTTTGGCTTAGCTCCTCTCGTCCCCCCATTGCCACATTAAGGTATGCCAGTCTGTTCTATGCCTCCATGCTTTGGGTCTTATTTTGTTGGTCTATTTTGTTCATTAGACTCCACAAATAAGTGAGATCATGTGACATTTGTATTTCTCAGATTGGCTTATTTCACTTAGCATAATATCCTCCAGGTCCATCTATGCTGTCCCAAAGGGTAAGAGATCCCTCTTTTTTTACAGCTGCATAGTATTCCATTGTGTAAATGTCCCAAGCATTTTTATCCATTCATCTACTGATGGGCTCTTGGGCTGTTTCCAAATCATAGCTATTGTAAATAACACTGATATGAACACAGGAGTGCATATATTCTTTCTGATTGGTGTTTCAGGGTTTTTAGGATATATTCCCAGAAGTGGGATTGCTGGGTCAAATGGAAGTTCCTTTTTTAATTTTTTGAGGAAACTCCATGCTGTTTTCCATAGTGTCTGCACCAATCTGCATTCCACCAGCAGTGAACTAGTGTTCCCTTTCATCCACATCCTCGTCAGCACTTGTTTGTTGATTTTTTTTTTTTAATGATAGCCATTCTGACAGGTATGAGATGATATCTCATTGTGGTTTTAATTTGCATTTCTCTGTTGATTAGTGGCTTTGAGCATTTTTTCATATGTCTCTTGGCCATTTATATGTCCTCTTTGGAGAAATGTCTATTCAGGTCTTCTTCCCATTAAAAAAAAATATTTTTATTGATTTCAGAGAGGTAGGGAAAGGGAGAGATAGAAATATCAATGATGGAAGAGTCAATGATCGGCTGCCTCCTGCACACCCCACATTGGGAATTGAGCCCGCAACCCTGGGCATGTACCCCAACTGGGAATAGAACTGTGACCTCCTGGTTCATAAGTAGACAACCTCTGAGCCACTCTGGTTGGGCTCCTGTCCATTTTTAAATTGGATAGTTTGTCTTTTGTTGAGTTGTATGAGTACTTTATATATTATGGATATTAACCCTTATCAGATGTATCATCGGCAAATATGTTCTCCCATACAGTGGGTTTCTTTTTCATTTTGATGGTGGCTTCTTTTGCTGTGCAGAAGCTGTTCATTTTGATGTAGTCCCATTTGTTTATTTTTCTGCTTAGTTTCCTTTGCCCTAGGAGAGGTATTGGCAAAAATTCTGCTACGTGAGATATCAGACAAAATAGACTTCAAAACAAAGACCATAACAAGAGACAAAGAAGGCCACTATATAATATTAAAAGGCATGATTCAATAAGAAAATATAACCCTTATAAACATATATACCCCCGCTATAGGACACCCTAAGTACATAAAAAAACAGACCTTGATGGACTTTAAGGGAGAGATTGACAGCAATACAATCAAGTAGGCGATTTTAACACCCTAGTAACATCACTGGATACAATTTCCAGACAAAAAATCAACAAGGAAACAGGGGCCTTAAATGACACACTAGATCAAATGGATCTAACTGATACTTATAGAACATTTCACCCCAAAGCAACAGAATATACATTCTTCTCAAGTGCACATGGAACATTCTCAGAGATAGGTTACATGTTAGGACACAAAACAAGTCTTTACAAATTTCAAGAAGACTGAAATAATACCAAGTATCTTCTCAGATCACAATGGCATGAAGTCAGAAATCAACTACAATAAAAAAACTAAAAAAACACTCAAATACATGATGTCTATTCTTGAGTCAGTCTGGGCAGTTTCTAGGAATCTCCCCATTTCATGGAGGTTATTCAGTTTTTTCATGTAATTAGGTATACAACAAATTGTATAACCTACATGAACAATGCTATTTATTTTCTTTATAGCATTCTCTCATAATTCTCTTTTGTTTCTGTAAGGTCTGTAGTAATGTCCTGTAATTTCTGATTTTAGCAATTTAAGCCTCTCTTTTTTTCTTAGTCTAGTAAAGGTTTGGCAATTTTTTTGGTATTTTCAAAGAACCAACTTTTGCTTTTGTTGATTTTTCCTATTTTTTATTCAAATCTTTAGCCTTTATTTATTTACATTTGTTTTTTGTACTTTTCTGTTTGTTGTTGTTGACACTATTACATATATCCCCATCCCCCCACCCCGTTTTGCCCACTTTCATCCAGCTCCTGCCCCCCTTCCCATTGGCCATCACAATACTGTTGTCTGTGTTTATGGGTTATGCCTATATGTTCTTTGGCTAATCCCTTCACCTTCTTTCATCCAGTCCCCTCACACTCCTCCCCTCTGAAAGCTGTCAGTCTGTTCCACGTGTTCATGCCTCTGTTTCTATTTTGTTTGTCAATTTATTTTGTTGATTAGATTCCACATATAAGTGAGAGCATATGGTATTCATCTTTTTTTATTCTCTATTTTGTTTTCACTCTCATCTTTATTATTTCCTTCCTTCTGCTTTGGACTTCGTTTGCTCTTTTCCCCCCCTCTAGTTCCTTAAGGTAAATAGTTAGGTTATTGATCTTTATTCTTTTTTCATGTAGGTGTTTATAGCTATAAATTTCTCTCTGAGTCCTGTTTTCATTGCATCTCATAAGTTTTGATATGTTTTGTTTTTGCTTTAAAATATTTTCTAATTTTCTCTTTGACTTTTTTTTTTCTTTACCTGATTAGTTGTTTGAGTGCTGTTTAATTTTCATGTATCTGTGAGTTTTCCAATTTTCCTATTATTGATTCCTAACTTTATTCCGTTGTGGTCAGAAAAGAGACATTGTGTCATTTAAATCTTTTAAAATTTATTAAAACTTGTTTTGTGGCCTAACTTGTGGTCTGTTTTGGAGAGTGTACCATGTGCACTTGAGAAGAATGTATATTCAGCTGTTGAGAATTCTGTTATGTGTATGTTTGGTATAATTGATTAATAGTGTTCTTCAAGTCGTCTGTTCCATTATTGATCTCTGTGTTCTATTCCTTATTAAGTGCGGGGTATTGAAGTCTTCAGCTATTGTAGAACTGTGCATTTTTCCCTTCCATTCTGTCATTTTGCTTCATATACATATTTTGGGGCTGTGTTGTTAGGTGCACATATATATATAATCATTATATCTTATTGATGGATTGAATAGTATGGGCATTTTTAAAATGCCATTTTGTTACTTGATTGTGTGATATGAATCTTGAGGTCATTGAAAACCTTCTAAATTTCTTCTAACACAAACAGTTCCCAGGAATGGATCTAGAGCCTGTTCTTCTGTTTTGGTTCTCTAACCTAAATATGTATATTACAGTTATTTCTGTTAAGCTGCCACTTTTCTGCTTTTTGAAATTATTTTGAAAATATGATTGGATGTTATTTCCTGCTTGTATTATTTTATTTTATTTTATTTTATTTTATTTTATTTTATTTTATTTTATTTTATTTTATTTTATTTATTTCTGGGTTTAACACAGAGAAGTGTTTTGGACAAGTGAGTACCAGGCATGAAATGAAATAGGGAAAGTTAAAACATCACAGAGCTTTTCTTACTGAGATTAAGATATGTTTCTTGAATAAATACTCCTAGGATTACTGCAAGCCTTTGGTTAATTTCCAGGGATCTGAAAAAGTTGGTTCTGATAATTTTTGCAAGTTTTCTTATTGCTTTTATGGAGGAGAGAATTTATGGAGGTCCTTAGTCCACTATTTTTTACTGACACTACCCTTGTGTTAGTAACATTTTTTAGCCTTAATCTGAATGATATTAAAAATTTTGTCATGTCTTTGTTGCTTTTAAGATATCATACATCTGCATCATTTTCCTTGTGTGTCAACTACGTGAATCCTGTTAAAGGAGGAAATGAGGTTGGTATGAGGGTCTTGCTTGTTATAGTGGCTCAATGTTGTTATTGATAAATAATTCCATATTTTCATATAGACCTATAAACTGACTTTTCAAAAATGCATTTTAGGATTTTTCCAAGAACTTACGGAAAGCTACTGAGTGAGCCGTTTGTAGAATAGGAAAAGCAGGTGTGTACCTCTTCTCCATGCAGTTCTCATTTTTCAGGATTAAAAAATAATTGCCAGTCATTGTTCTAAAACTTTCTTTTCAAGATTGTAGCCGGGTCCTCAGATTATAGTAAATTTGGGTCCGTAAGGCTGAAATCAGTTACAGTAATAGGTGTTCGGATGTCTTCTTCTTGGCTCTCTTAACTCAGTTCCTCTTCCCTATTTCATGTTTTCTGAATACATTTTAAAAATCAGATTATAAAGCAACTATGTATTCCCTGTCAAAATTTTTAAAAATAGAAAAAAAGAAAAGAAAAAAACCCCAGTTCACTTATTTAGCAGTATACATCTGTTAACATAGATGTATATCCATCTAATCTCTTTTTCTACTTACATAAGGGATATCTAAATGCATATGTAATAGCTATTAAATACAAAATTATGGCTGTACTATGGAAAATAGCTTGCAACTCTTTTTAGTGATATTTTTTGTTTTCCTTACTTTATTTAGTAGTTCCTATGACATAATTTCAATGTGCTATACCATATCATTTATCACCTTGTTGTAGTATATTAGATTATTTACTTACTTTGTTTTTGAAATTTTCACTATGTTTTTAAATGGTAGTGTAACAATTTTTTTTTTTTTATAAATCTTGGTATATGTTGCTTTTATTTCTTTATGATAAGTTTCTAGATGTGAAAGATCAATGAGTATGCCCCTTATAAAGACTTGTGCTAATGCCAAATTGTTCTCCAGAAGGGATTTGCTTGCCATCCAGAACAGATATTGCCAGTGGTGACTGGTATGTTTATTTCACTGGGCTCTCAGCACTACTGGTAGTAACTTGAGAGGTATTTTCATTTCTTATTGATATGTAAAGATTCAAAAAAACCATTAACGAGTTTAAGCCTTGTCTATAGCATACATTAACAAAAATATTTTTTCTGATTAGTTGTGAATTTTGCCTATTGTGTTTTTTTAATATGGAAAGTAACTTAAATTTTACACCAGATTAAATATATAGGTATGATTCCTTCTCATTTATCCTTTCTCTCCCCTTCCTTCCTTCCTTCCTTCCTTCCTTCCTTCCTTCCTTCCTTCCTTCCTTCCTCCCTTCCTTCCTCCCTCCCTCCCTCCCTCCCTCCCTCCCTCCCTCCCTCCCTCCCTCCCTCTCTCCCTTCCCTTCCCTTCCCTTCCCTTCCCTTCCCTTCCCTTCCCTTCCCTTCCCTTCCCTTCCCTTCCCTTCCCTTCCCTTCCCTTCCCTTCCCTTCCCTTCCCTTCCTTCCCTTCCTTCTCTTCCTAATTTCTTTCCTTGAAATAGAGAGAAAGTCTTCCTTATGCCAAAGTATCTAACCATTCATCTGTAATCTTTTATTTCTTTTATGGCACAATTTTTATACATTAAAGTGCACATTTAATATGTTTTGCTGTGTGGTGTTTTAATATGTTTAGCTGTAATTTGTTTTGCTCTGTGGTGTGAAGTAGGGATATGGTCACTGCCATTGTTAATCTATTGTTTCAATCTATTTATTGAATAATTATTTTCCTTCTGATTTAAAATATCATATCTAGTATTGATGAGATTATTTCATATATTACTATGATTTTGTTTATGGACATTCCACTGTCTTTCACAGTTTGAATTATTGTTCTTTTAAAAATATTTTATTTGGTAATTCAAGTTCACTTTCATAATTCTTTTCTCAACATACTTTTGATTATTTCTGTTAATAAAGTTTCAGAATAAAATTCCAATGAGATTGTTCTTTTAATTGCACTAGAGTTATAGATCACTTTGGGGAAAGTTGACATCTTTGTGATTTGAGTCTTCTCATTCAATAAAACATTTCTCCCTAGTAAACTTCTTTTAAGTGTGTTAGTAAAGTTTTCGAGATTCAGATCCTAAGGTTATTACTAGGTAGTTTAAAAATGTGTTGCTCCTGTGAATACGGTTTTATGTATAATTCATTGTTGTTTATACGGTAGTCCCCCCTTAGCCACAGGGTCTACATTCCAGAACCCCCCAATGGATGCCTGAAACCACGGATAATATCAGACCCTATATATAATGTGTTTTTTTTCTATATATGCAGGGTGGGGCAAAAGTAGGTCTACAGTTGTGAGTACGTGAAACACAGTTATATTCTTGTATAATTATTTATCAATTATTGTATTATTTTTCATATGAACAACTAAACCTACTTTTGTCCTAACCTGTACATACCTATGATGAAGTTTAATTTACAAATTAGCGCAGTAACATATTAACAACAATAACTAATAAAATAGAACAACTCTAACAATATACCGTAATAAAACTTATGAATGCGGTCTCTCTTAAAGTATCTTATTGTACTGTACTCACCCTTCTCGTGATGATGTGAGATAATATAATACCTATGTGACGAGATGAAGTGAGGGAGAATTTTCCATTTAATATTTTCAGACTTCAGTTGACTGTGGGTAACTGAAACCACAGAAAGCAAAACCTTGGATACAGAGAGACTACTGTACATTACAAGAGTAAATTTTTTTGGATATTTGTGTTTAACTATTCACCTTCTGAATTCTTATTAGCCTAATATATTTCATTCAGTTCCTTTTGGAATTTTATGTGGTCACATCATCCTCAAATTATATTATCTCACCCATCTTTATACACTTGTATATTTTTCTACTCTTATTTTATTAGCCATAATTTTCAGAAAGCACTAAATAGTAATGTGATAGCCAGCAATTGTGTCTTATATCTTGTTTCTGATTTAATAAAACTGCCTTTTGTTTCACCATTAATTAAGGCAGTGGCTACTGATAAAAGGCAGATATATTTTCTGTTAAAGTTCCTATACTTCATTTACTATTTTTTTTTTTTTAACAAGGAATAGCTGTTACATATTTTTTCACACTTACTGGGGTGGTCATATAATCTTCCTCCTTATCCCTTCATATAATTTAGTAGCCAACTTCCTAAGGCTAACTTTCCTTATTTTGAAATAAGTACATGTGCTGATAACACAGTTTTTATTTTAGTATTGTTAAGGTCAGCTAGCTGCTGTGTGTGTTTAGAATTTTAGTATTGATACTGATAAATATGTGTGCTAATTTACTCCAATTGTTAATGTCAGAATAATGCTGGTTTCATAAAAGGAATTGATTAACCTTTTATTTTCCTCTGTTTTTAGAAATAATTCATACAACATGTCAATTAAGCTTTCTTTCTAATGTATTTGGAAACAAATAAGTTGGTTATATTTTCTGTGTCTAGATTATTTTTCTGAGACAGTTTTTTTTTTATAGCATTTTCAATGGCTGTTGAGTTTTTCATATTTCTCCTTGAGTAATTTTTGGTAATTTATATTTAGTCAGAGCACCATCTTATCCTTATTTTAACATATTTTTGGAAGAGGTGCAAATAGAATATATATATATCTCCTCACCCAAGGATATGTTTATTGGTTTTAACTCTTATTTATTGGTTTTATGACATGCTTATTCATTTTAGAAAGAGGGGGATAGGAGGGAGGGAAGGGAGAAAGAGAGAGATAGAGAAAGGGGGGAGAGAGAAAGAGAAAGATCAATTGGTTACTTTCCCATATGCACCCCAACAGGGGATCAAACCCCAAACCTGGGCATGTCCTGACTGGGAATAAAAGCCACACTCTTTGGTATACTGGCCGATATTCCAATTATCTGAGCCACATCGGCCAGGGCTGCTTTTTTTTTTTAAGTTCTATTTCCGAAGGGAAATAATCATAGTAATAATGTGGACAATTCCTTGTTACCAGACTGATGCTTTGCCGTTTTGCTCATCCTCTGGAGTAAGATAAAAACAGGAGAACATTAAGGAATCATTTATGCAACATTTATTTAGTTTTTCTTGGTGTATAATTGGTAAGGAATTAATTCAGGCATATTGTATGAGGAGCTAAATTCAACCCATCATGTTACTAATCAATTGTCCCAGGTCTATTTTTTTACGAAACTCCTTTCCCACAGATGGAGATGACTCCTTCAGTATACTACTATATCAAAGACCATTTATCTCACTGGTGTCTCACTATAGTGCATGGATGCTTACTAGCAAGCTTTCAATCTCTATTATTTTCTGTAGCTCTGTTTGTTCTTGTCTCATCAACATACCCTTTTATTCATTATAAATATTTTGGTATTGATAATACTTGTCTCTTTTAATTATTCTTATAGGAAAAGATTTTATTTTCTATTCTCCCATTGGAATGAGGATTGGAATTGCATCATTCTTAAAATGTAATTTGGGGAGATTTTGATCCTTTTTTTCTCTTTAGTCTTCCTCTCTGGAATAAGACACCTAACTCCATTGTTCTAAATCTCTTTTTAGAACAGTTTTGCAGTTGTCTTTATATAGGTCATGGGTATTTCTTAAGGCCAGTGTTAGATTGTATATAGCTTTTGAAGCTACTGAGTAGAGAATGTTTTAAAATCGTGTTTCATAGAGGCTGCTAGAGGCCCAGTGCATGAAATTGGTGCATGAAATTCGTGCACGGGTAGGGTCCCTAGCAGCTGCCGGCTGCCGGCTGGGGCCTCCCTTCATTCTGCACTGTCCCCTGGTGGTCAGTGCACGTCATAGTGAGTGATCGAACTCATGGTTGGTTAAACTCCCGAGAGGACACTGCATATTAGGCTTTTATAGATATAGATTGCTGGAATATGAGAAAGTAAGTGATTTTTATATACAGTAGGTCCTCAAATAACGTCGTTTTGTTCAACATCATTTCCTTATAATGTTGATGAGATGACATAGGAACTTAACTGTTGTTTATGTCAACTAGCCTGTGGTGAAATTTTTTCTTTATACATTGTTTTGCTTAAAGTTGCAGAACCTACCGACGACGTTGAGGACTTACTATATTATATACAATAAATATTTGTTTTTATTAGATGCTTATATTTCACACACTTTTTTTTAACATATTAAATCATACCGCGTTAAAGACTACTTGTTGTCTTGTCCTTTTCAATAATTATGAGTCATTTCTTTTACATCTCTTATTTCTCTCTGCTTTTCCTGGGTACCCTGTTTCATTCTCAACACTCCTTTCTCACTTGATACCCCCTCCTCTATTTTGTCCTTTGTCCTAGTTTTTAACACTCTTTGAAATACCATATATTTTCTTTAACCTTACTTAAAAAGTAAGTTTTTAAATAGTGTAATGTAAGCTCCCCAAAGATAGTGATTTTTGTTCATCTTCACCACTGTATCCCTTCATACCGCACCTGGCTTTATGTCTCAGTAAATATTTGTTGAATGGAAGAATCTGCATTATTTTGGGACTCGAGATTATAATTAATCTGAGCTCAGAGGTCTGAAACTTTTGAAGTGGATTGGTGCTCCCTTACTCTGACTTCGTTTTACTCCTTCTAGTGAGAAGATCCTAGTCTTTGTTGGAGATGATGGAAGCAAATGAGGTTTTGAGTGGCTACACTTGGTTTTCAATATTTGCAGTGCTTCTTAGTCACAGTCAGGTTCTTTATAAAGTTGCTGTGAACATGCAATTAGCTGATACTGAATCATTTCCCTGGAGGAAATACATGGTTTTGTTCTTGTGAGTCTCTGGTCATATTTTTGTCAACTGATCAATACATAACCTCATTTTATGTGTGTTTCTGTTCAAGGACACCTTATTTAATACACATAGGTAATTCATCGCCATTGAACTTGTGCCTGAAGAAAGCTCTTCTAACTCATGTATTTTCAGTTTTGCTCTTGCAGACACTAGATAGCACTTCAACACTGCACCTGGGGGCTGTTTTAAACAGTGAAATTACCAACAAAAACCACAAAAATGCAAATAACATGGCACTAAATAGACAGAAGAAGGACACTTGTTGACAGTATGAGAGCTGAACTGTGAAGGCAGATGTTGCCTAATTCAACCTCCACTGAACACGTATATGTTGGACGACTCAAAAACTTTCCTGCTCTTTGCACGTCCTTGAATAACCATAAAATACCTTGGGTATTGATTTGGAGGGTGAGAAAATAAATTTTTATCTAGTAAAATTTGCAAATACAGAGTCTGCGAATAATAGTTTCATTTGGTGTGACTAGTATCTTTTCCAAGCAGTGGAGGGGCCTTCCCTGTATTACCCTGTGGTCTGCAATGACTTGATATTATCAGGCTGACACTTGTCATCTCCTTTTGGGACTTAGCGTTGCCTACTGTTTTTGACCATAGTTCTATTCAGCTTCTTCTGCCTTTGGTTTATGTCCCTTTGGAGCCCAAGCTCATCTTGCACAGTCATATTCTTCCTCAGGTAACTTTTTCCCCCTCTATTTCTTGGGATCATCTGCACTTGCATCGTTAGAATTTCACCCTGGGGGCTCTTCTGAAGTTCATTTGAACCATCTTTCTTCTTAGCATCCCTGGACAATGGACATAGCCTTTGAATCTCAAAGTGTTTTGAGTCTGCTTTCCTAAAGTTTGGGTTTTCAAGTGGAGGTGCACATCTAAGTCACCTGTGGGGTTTTTAAAACACAGTGACATTGGCCTTGCCCCAAACCAACTGAGTCAACAATTGCAAAGGGGTGTAGTCTATGTATAGATGTGTTTAAAAACTTTCCACAGGTAATTCTGATCTGTGGGTGGGGAGGGGTTTGCGAGCCAGTTGTATTGAGAGCTGTGGTAAAGTTGACAATGGTTAAAATGATAACCATCAAAACTACCACCATCAACGTTTATGGTACCTTTACCAGGTGTCAGGCTCCTTATTAAGCTGTTTGTATGTTTTAATACAATCCCTGGGCATAGATACATGCTTTGATGAACCCAAATTTACAGATGAGGAAACAGGAGCTCACAGTGGCTAAGTAACTTTTCCAAAGTCACATAGCCTGAGGAGATGGATTGGAATTATGATTTCTACGGTTTCGTATTCAATGATTTCGAGAATACAGCCCTGGATCACTTCTGAGTCTTCTTCTTCTCATTTCATCCTTCCTGCATTAAATACCCAGTGTTGTAGTTAGTGATGTATTACTTTTATAAGATTTTTTATCTTCTCACCAATAATAGAAACCTAGGTGAGAAGATGCTTGCAAGGAATTCAAGTATTTTGACAGTGTTTTTAACATACGAGAGGCAATGGACTTTTTTGGTTATATAGCAGGATGCTTTCTTAGGGGCAATTGCTATTGACATTAAGTTCTTGCCTACCCTAGGTGCCTGGACAATAGATGAATGCATTACCAAGTTGCATAATATTGTAATTGCAGGAGGGAAGTCTATCTTTAAACCATCTTTGTAGAGTGAATAGTGACACTCAATTTATAAAGGTAGATTTTCACCTTTTCCTTAAAATGAAAGCACTAATCTCTAAATAGAGTCTTTGTGCCTCTACAGTTAATTTACCCCAAGACAGTAATTTCTAGTAATTGTAATAACTCTATTAATTTCAAAACAGTCTGAGTCAATTTTCTTAGAATTTAGGACAGGACCTCAAAGGAAAAAAATATAGTTCAAGGCTTTCCACATGTTTCAGGGAATCTTAGAATCCCCCCAGGAGTTTCCTGGTCTTAGGGAAACTTTTGCAAGTGTGGTTAGACTTGAAGTGGTTTGTGCAATCCCTGAATTTGTTATTACTATTAGGTTTTTTTTTTTTTTTTCAGTGCAGTTTTACCTATGCAACTGTGCATATTATGCATTTACTTCCAGGTATCGTCTTACACTCATACTTGGGGGCTGTTTTGCTACCTTCAAGGGGAGGGGAGGTTGTAACTCCTTCTTCTTATCCACATAAGCAGCAAACACTATCCAAAAGCCCAAAAGGCCTTGGCAGGTGTGGCTCAATTGGTTGAGCATCGACCCATGAACTAAAAGATCGCCAATCTGATTGCCATTCATGGCACATACCTGGAGTGTGTGTTGGATCCTTAGAGTGCCTGTGGGAGGCAACAGATTGATGTTTCTCTCTTTCTCTCTCCCTCTTCCTCTCCCTTTCCCTTCTGTCTCTTAAATCATTAAAAAAGGATAATTTGATAGCCGTCATCACAAAAGTACTCCAATATTTAAAATGATTATAATTTATTATTTTTGCCTCATTGTTCTGTTAGCAAGTTATTTATTCTTTTAGCATGTTATCTTTAAATGAGATAATATTCATTGGTATATAGGTCATGACTCTAATCAGTAGTTAGAATCATTCAGTTACCTGAGAGAACACATGAGAAGCCAGCTCATATAGAAGGCTTGCAAAAAATAAAATAAAATAAAATAAAATAAAATAAAATAAAATAAAATAAAATAAAATAAATCGCACTGCTTAGGACTAAACTTTCTATTTAACATATATAACAATTTTATTCTTGTACTTCAAAATTTTATTGCCAAGTTATATTCCATATGGATTTGTGGAATCAATTTCAAGTAAAATAAAATCTTAGTAGCTGAGATTGGAATGGTGTTTAATTTATTGTTAAACTTGGGAAAACCTGACTTATTTATAGTAGACCAATTGGCTTTTCTCTCTAATTTGCCCAGGTCTCATTTATATCCTTCAATAATTTTTTTATTTCCTCTTTGGATTTTATATATTTCTTGTTATATTTCCCTCCCCCAGGCATATTGTTCTTTTCAGTTTTAATTATTGAGAATACATCTTTCCCTATTATATATTTAAAAATTAATTTTACAGGGCAAATTGCTGGCTGTTGAATACTTATTTTATAACCTGCAATGTTTTGATTCTCTTATTAATTATTATAGTCTTCTGCTTAATTCTCTAGTTTTATCTGAAGCAAACAATGGCCAATTTCCCTGCCCTTCCTGACAGTGGGAGCTCATGTCTTTCACTTGCTTTGTTTACCAGTGTTAAATACTTTTAGGTTTATTTATCAGTATTAAATACTAGTTGTGATAGGATCCTGACCCATGACTTTAATGGAAATGCTTGTATTATATCAGCTTAAGTTTGATGCTGGCTATTAGTTTACGGCTAAGAATGTTCTTCTGGCCCTAGTTTGCTATTTTTTAAAAATAGGAAATGGTATCAAAGGCCTTTTAAAATTATTGAAGTCATGTGATTTTTTTAAACGAATGGATATGATGATTATATTAATCTATTATATTTTTCTAGGACAAATTCTTGTTAATAGATGTGTATTTCCTTTTATTATGCTAGTGGCTTTCAAAAATATTTTATTTTGAATTCTTTTATGTATATTTCTAAGTGATACTGGGCTGTGGTTTTATTGTGTGTGTGTGTGAGATTTTTCTGTCAAGGTCACTAAATGTCATAAAATGAATGGGGAAACATTCCTTTTTTACTCTGTTGGGAACATTTTATAAAGCTTCAGAGAGCATTCTTTAGCAACCTTTTCAAATTCATCTATAGCTTTTGCTTAATTTGATGTTCTTATTTCTTATTAAGTAAATTGTGTTATTTTGTATTTATTCAGAAAATCTTATATTTTATTGAGCATTTTCAAATTTATTAAATTTTAAATAATAATTTCCCATTATTTGTGAGTTGCTGCCATATTTTTTGTTAAATACTATTTTTTCATTCTTTACTGTGCCTGTTTGTGTTTTTCATTATGGTTTTCATTAGACTAGATAGAGGTTTGCCTGTTGGTGGTAGTTTTTGTTTATAGTAGTGTTTTTCAGAGAACCAGCTCTTGAATTCTGCTTTTTAGTTTGTAATGAATCCATTCCTACTTTTAACCTTAATAATACCTTGATTATGTTTTTTTTTAGGTTTTATTTTGTTGTTCTTTTTCTAACTTCTTGAATTGGATTATTGATGCATTCATTTTTTTGCTTTCTTTTAAAATAATAAATTACTTAATAATTTTCTTAGGATTATAGTTTTGGCCGTATCTCTGTCCTAGATTATTACATGCTATATTATCACTATTGCTATTTTCTAATTAATTTGTAATTTTGTTTCTTTATCCATTGGGCCAATAATTATTTAAGAGAGTCTTTCCTACATGGTGGAGGCTTTTGTTTATATGTTTGAAATTTCTTTATAGCTCTGTGATGAATATTCTGCATTTTTCTGTGTCTAAAATTATTCTCTTAGGATAGGTTTCCAGAAGTAGGATTAGCAGGTCAAAGGGTAAGAATCTTTTCCAGGCTTCTGCTTTCTATGTCCTTTTGGTCATCAGGACAGCTCTGCCTTTTCTTGGTGTAGGTATTAGAAGTCATTTCCCACAGATGCCAGTTCTTGGTGGACGAACAGTGAAGTGCTGAGCATGGGTTCTGGTTCCCCACAGCCTTCCCCTCTTCCTGAGGAGGGCTCTGGGGTGAGGGGGTCGGGAAGCCTTCCTATTCATCCTCACATAGATCTGAGATACCTAGACTCCTTGGTAGATTAAGGGGAAGAATTCACAGTTATCTTTGCTCTCCAATTGCAAGCAGTCTCCACACATTCCTGCTGACACACAGAAGTGTCCTGACACTTGCTGAGCAAACAGGATATCTTAGGCATTTAACATATTTTGCCATCTTAAAAAACACACACACACACATTAAGTAGAATGTGGATGAGAAGACAGACTCGGAGAATGGAAGTGAGATAGGCAGCCAGTAAGAGTCTGAGCCCCTTACCAACCAGCCTCTCTTCTTCCCGCTCATCAAGTGCAGGTTGTGTTGGTGGGCCACTGCCCAAGTGCAGGAGTGAAGTTCTGAGGCTGCTTCCCCCACCCCCCCCGCCCCTTATCAGGAGGTCATTAATACTTGGAAGGACAGAGGCCAAATCCCATCACACTCCCAGATGAACTTTAAAACCCCAACATAGTAATTTATTGAGCTCCTACTGTATGCCAGGGCTCCATGTGGCTTCCCCTGCTGAGTCCTCTCTGATGGAGGGCTGTTACCTTCTCCATTGTACAGATGAGGGAAGTAAAGCTTAGAGTGACAAACTGACTTGTCCAGAGTCACACCACAGACAGGCCATGGAGACACCTGGGCTGACACTGGACTGCCCTTCCCACAGTATTACAGGTGGCCACATGAGGCCACCTCTTATGGATCATGAGGCATGTGACAGTTCTCAGATTCTGGCATGTTTTCCAAGCTACACGAAGTTCCTTTGCAGAACATCCTTTTCTCTAATCGCAGTGTCTTCTAATATCTGATATTGCGGTGGCCTCTGCTCCTGGCTTAATCTCCATTTGTCCTGAATCCCAGACTCTTGTCTACACAGCCATCAGAAAGCCAGATAGTCTAAATTTAATATAGTCTACCCAGATATTGGTTGCAGTCCCTCTTTCCAGGTGGACCTGTGATATAGTCACCTCCTTCCTAGTATATTACAGATTGGCAAGGATTGGTTATAGTTTGTGTCTCGCCAAGCATCTCAGTGGTGGTTGCTCTTGAGTGCATTTTGGAGACTAGGATTGTGCCAAGCCTATCAAACAGGGATAAAAAATTGCGCTTGCTTCAAAGGATTATTGTGAAGATTAATTATGATGATGCATAAGACATGCCTTTATCATCATCATGTCACCTTAACCCCCTCTCCTATGACTGTTCTTCTCAAAACCCTGGCCTTTGACCAAGTGGATTATATATTTTAGAAACAAATCCTTTGTCAGAAATATGTGTTCTGCATATCTTCTCATGATCTATGGATTACCTTTTTATTCTCTTAATTGTGCCTTTTGGTAAGTACAAGTTCTTGGTTTTAATGAAGTTCAGTTGATCAGCTCTTTTTGTTCCTTTATGCTTTTTGGGTCCTAGTTTAAGATGTTTTTCTACCTGAAGGTTGTGAAGATATGCTGCTATGTTATCTTCTAGAAGTTTTATTATTTTACTGATTGC